TGTATTCTATTGGCTGTCAGACTCCCAGGAGGAGTCATGTTTGTCTGAATCAAGTTTGGTTGTATTTTGGGCTGATGTAATGAATGGGCTTGGTTGTGCCATGTGGTAAACTTTGCTGATAGATAATCATATTATGTCCTGGAGGGTCATGTCTTAATCCCATCACCCTGGAGCTGAGGTCTTTTGTTTTGTAGATAGGGTGGCCCAGTCTTAATGTCTGCTGAGGGCAGGGAGACAGAGTTTCTGTCTATAAGAGCATGTTTCTCAATTTCTCATCCAGGGAAATATAATATTCTGCCTTTTTAATATTTCCTAAAATATTTGATTCTTCTAGGAGAGCGGTGGGTGCTAACTTTCTACACTATCATCTATCGCTATCTATCTATGAAGAAATGCGGAGACTTAGTCACGGAGTCTGGTAGAAACAGTATTTACCATGTCTTCCAGGATTATTTAGTACTATTACTCTAATCTGGAGTTTACTAAATGCAGTCTCTGAGTTACAGGCAGCCTGGCAGTGAATCAACTGAAGCATGTGGTACCTCTGCCCTCCACTTTGCCTCCTTTGCCATGTTTTGCTTCCAACAAGTCTGTCAAGTTTCTTCTCCACCAATGTCTCCCACTTCTTCCATGCTTTTCCTTCTGCTGTTACTTTCACCATTGTCTCTTCCAACAAAATTGTCTTCTCTAGTTCTCTAGTTCTACCCAACCTGTACTTTGGACTGTTCATTTCTTGTCTTTCCTTTTTGCTAAACTCCTATATTATTCATTTTTACTTATTTATCAAAGTTGAAAACCACCTGTCTCTCTTATAGAGAGACTCTGGATGGTGTACAATACATTTATATGATTTATCTCTGCTGTCTACTAACTCTCAGCTCTGTCTTTACTCCTGCTATGTTTTTTTTACCCCTTCTCTGCTTCTCCATTTGATTCTTCTAAAATTTTCTATAGTCAAACCTCTACTTCCTCCAAACTTATCTTCATGTCTCCCTCTTTCCTATTCCTGTACCTCCACTTACTTTCCATCCCCACAGATGTCCTGGAATATTTTGTTTCAAAACAAAGAAAAATCAAGAGCTTTTCTTCTGTTCAAGCTATGGCAATGAATGTCAAGTCATTACTGTCAAAAAAAGCTATGGGTCTTTTAAAGAAAATATATTGCTACTACAATAATAATAATAAAATAGAATGACAAAATATCATTTTAGGGGTGGGGTTTTTGCTTCATTTATAAGTCTAGGATGGAAGAAATATTTATTTCCAGTGCAGTTTTCATGAGAATAGGATCAAATTAAATGTAGATAATTTCCAAGAAATAGCTAATTAAACAAAGAAGAGTTTGGAAGGAAAATGCTAATTTCTAATGTAATAGAAGGCAACATTCTTATCCCACCTTGGTATCTAATATCACAGAACATAGGGTTGAAAGGGACCTTGGAGGTCTTCTATCCCCTGCTGTTATCCTTGGAGTTCTTCTACCTCCTGCTCTTATCACAGTGTCATATAATATCTGTCAGGATTCCAACCAATGCCCTAATAAAATTAAAAGTTTCAAACCATTTAGCAAGAAAAATCAAGTTGGTTATTAGGAGCGCCATGTCGGCACAACCTATGTGAAGCCAGCTCTGGCTCCACCCAATTTGCGCCTTGCCTCTGACACTGTTTCCCCCCTCCCCCATACTATGTCATTCATCACATTCACCAACAAAGCAATTTCGCAGGTCGTAGAAGTCATTCCCTCCAGCCATTGTGGGTATCTGTGGAGATAGCCTTGACTTCAGCTGGCTAGGCTGTGTTTTGTTTTGACTGAAGTGTAAATTTTTTGGTGCAGCTTCGAGGTGCGATTCCCATCCCCTTGCCTATGGCAACTCAGGAACAGGTCAGGAATGTCAGAGTTTGTTGCAGAAATCACATCCAGAAAACACACACATACGGATTTAGCAGGATTTATTAACTTATTTATATACATAATAACACATGAGTAAATGTACAATACCAATACAATACCATTGAAGAATACAATAGGTATTCTCCAATGTGGTAGTAGTTACAGGCAAAACACAGGCAGAGGGGAGAACAGCAGAGATGAGTTTCAGTTTTAATACAGCAGACAGACTAGATTAGTTCTCTTGCACAGACTCAGAGCTAGATAGGTAAGACACGCCCAGGCTCTGAGCAGTCTGTCATGGCTCTCAGTCACCAGATAGTTCCCATTGGCTGACCCAGTTGCCATGCCTATACATTGGCTGACCTTGTCATCATGTCTTATTCCAGATAGTCCACACTGGCTGACCTGTTGCTATGTCCTATTCCAGTTCATGAATATTTTGATACTTCATGACTGGAAGAGACATAAATCCAATTAACTTAATATCCTTCCCATGGTGCACTCCACCTAATGGCTTCGTCATTATGTCGGCCAGATTGTCTTCTGATGCACAGTGAAACAAGCTGATTAATTTACTTTTTATGGCTTCCCTGACATTACAATATTTAATGTCCACATGCTTGCTTCTATTTTTTACTCTGTCACTTGTTGCCGTTTTAATGCAAGCAGCATTATCCTCATACACCATTACAGCTCCATTTACCTTTACATTTAAATCCTGTAACAGCTGTTCATACAAGGTTACCTCTGAACAGAGTTCAGACAGAGCGAAAAATTCTGCCTCTGTCATAGAAATGGCTACAGTTGTTTGTTTCCTGGACTTCCAACCAATTAAAGCCCCTCCAAACAATACCACAATCCCAAAATAAGACTTTCTGGTTTTTACCTCGTTTACATAATCATTATCTGTTCTGTCCCAGGCCTCAAATGTATACTGACACCGGCTTGGCTGTCTGCCATGACTAAGGAGGGAGATAAGCCACCCCTTGGCTAGGAGCCCAGAAAACTATCTCTACGAAAACAAGGCCTTAACTCATGGACTTATTGAAGCTTTTGCTACACCTAGATTATTAGACTGTTGTTTCCTGCAAAATTCCCCTCCCATCACCCCACCTATAATCTCTCTGGGAGAGGCCAATCAGTCCTATTTCCTTCTGCGAGCCTATTCCACAGCTGCTGCCTCCTCCTATTAGCCCTCCGCATCCGTATGTCAGGGACAACCTCCCTCTGTTCCTTCCTCACTGCTCCCTGACTCAGACGACACCTGGTGGCCAACATGCCTCTCTAGTCCCTGCTTTGACTCCGAACCCAGAGTCTTCCTCAGCCTCCAGGGCAGTCCCATAGTGTTCATCGCTGTCAGACTCCACCAACAGCTCAGCCGGCCGCTGCTGGGCCACAACATTATCAATATAGCATTTCATATTTTTTTCTTCAGAGACCTGTATTTGAAGACCCAAGTTCACAATTCCCTTCAAATACCTGAGAATCCTTTTTATACCCATCCAATGCAATTGCATTGGTGCAGCAGTAAAGTGACTCAAAATGCTTACTGCACAAGCTATGTCTGGTCTAGACCACTGTGAAAGATGTAACAGGTTCCCTATTGCTGACTGATCTATCTCTTGATCACAGACTTCCCTTTTGTCCTCACCCAAACTGTTATGAAAATCTGTGCTCATAGGTGCTGGAGCAGTATTACAATCTTTCATGTTATATCTCTCCAACAACTGTTCAACTTATTAGCAAATTCTTTTACCTGTGATATATCATTTGCAATGAAACAAAGATTACCCACTGTTATTAGTTGACAATCCCCACCTTTTAGCTTTCCAGTGTATATGGAACCATCAGCCTTGCAACTCTTGAACCCAAGACCCTTCAGTGCCTTATCTAGGCAGATATTCCAATTCCTGGCTGACTGCTTCAGCCCATAAATGGCCTTGTTCAATTTATACACCGTGTTAGGCTTCTTACTTTCATACACTGGTGCTTGAACCATGTAAATTTCTGCCTCTAATTCTACATTGAGGAATGCAGTGGTTATGTCAAAATGCCAAATTTTATGGCCATGTGTCACTGCCAATACTAATGCCAGCCTNCTAACCCTAAGGACAGGAAAGACAAAGCCACTGGAATAAAAACCATCAAGGCATTGTGGGAAGTATTAGCATAAAGGACAGTGCCAGAAACCTCAGAGAACCAGAAACCACAGAAAACAGTGCCAAGAAACTCAAGCCAGCCTTTCCCCCTTTAAGAAAACCCCAGGCAAAAACACCAGCTGAAAGAAGACTTAAATTCTTAAGTATACCCATTAAGACTAAGGGAATCAGCAAGCTAAAAATAGCTCACCAGGAACTCCCCTTTTCCTGTTTCCTAGCAGAACTAACCCCCAGGATAGGAAAGACAAAAGACCTGGGATCAAGATTCACCCAGGAAAACAAAAGCAGGGCAATCAGAAACCATCAAAACTCATCAGGCTGCAGGAGCTCATAAACCACAACACAGCTAGGGTGTATAGCCAGCATCTCAGCAACAGGAAGTGTTCTCCAGGCTCTCCGTAGAACCATCAGAGTCCCCGCTGTTTTTTGGGGTCCTCAACGACCATAGCTGTCTCGGAGTGACAGTGAAGAGAAGAGGCGCAAGCGGGGGTGGTCGGGGAAACCTCAATTCCCTTAAAATGCCCGCAATTGCCTCCAGACCCAACAGCTGGGAAGCCAGCCATTGTGAGCTGTCATAGCTGGGCAGCTGCAACAAAGCAAGAATAGTGTGGTGATAGTCTGGGTCAGATAACATGATTGGCTTGAAGTACAATTTTTTTGTAATTAACTTTAACCTCTGGTTGAAAACTTTTAAAAGAAAGAGTGGCAGGAGAGAGGTGTGGGTGGGCGTTAGTAAGCTCCTCCACTCCTGATCTAGCCATGAACAAACAAAGCCATTAACTACACAAAGAACAAAAGGAATAATAGATTTTGAGAACTGCTTAAGGGTTAGAAAGCAAATTGGAAGGAGAGATCTTTTTACTTTTACTCTGTGTGTCAGGCCTGCAGTGGTTCCTTTAAGAATCTTTTGCCTGTGGAGGGCGGGGCCGAAGTCGTGACGAGACGACGTGCTATCTCAAAGCTCTGAGATCGCAGTTGACACTTTTATTATTGGGGGGGGGGGTCCCAACGGACCTAAATCATCCCGAAGAGATGGTGAATAGGAAGATTACATCTTGCTGATCTCGGGGATATCGCAAAATCTCCAAGAGAGCAAGGAAAAGTCTTCGAGCTGGTAATAAAAATTCCAGTCTTTTGTCAAGACTGACAAAGTCAGGGCGGCCTCAGAACGGAACAATGTGGAAAGAGAAAGTGTTTTCAGCTAGTGAGAAACTTTTATTGTTTTAAAAAAACTGGACTGCCTATAAAACCTAAAAACTAACTAATCAAAAAATAGAAGAACTTAGCGGCGAATTTGATTTTTGTAATGGTTCTGGACAGTGGTTATCTTACTTTTTAAATGTTATTTACATGGATTGAATCTAAGCAAAACTTTTTCAAATGGATGGATGACGCTTTCTTCTTCTAACATTTCTTGGTGACTGTCTGCAAACTACAGATTGATTGTTTTGACTATGACATTGCAAGCTTTTATTGCCTAGCTGTTTGGCTTAAGATCTGATAAGATTTTACAGCTGTCCTTTTGAAGTTTGTTTTCGCTTACAGAGAGCTTGTGAGTGTGTGTTTTAATCTTCCTGACCTTCTAAGAAAAAATATAACTGCATATGGACATGGC